AAAAAAAAAAAAAAAAAAAAAAAAAAAAAAAAAAAAAAAAAAAAAAAAAAAAAAAAAAGAAAATAAAAGAGCTAACGACGAGCAAACACAAAGCTTATTTGTATTTTACTTAATTAAGACCTCCCCTGCCCTCGTATAGTAACGACGCGCAATTTAGATCCCCGAGCAGGCAACAGTAATTTTTCACGGCGTTAATTAAATATCACTCCGGGACTCCAAGGGGGTGGGGTGAACCCACAGGGGCTCCGTTCGCGTTATCGCGGTTTATTTATTCCCCGAGATTGCAAGGTCTTTTTGCCAAGTACACGCGAAGCTCGGCAACGCGGGTTACGTACATACACACATTAATCACAACTAACAAAAAAATTCGTACTATTTAACGTAATTGAATCGATCACATATTTTGTGGTTAAGTTTATTTGATAGAGATAGCATCGCATATCGAAAGGATGTCCAATCGGCGTATTTATCGGACAGCAACATTAGCGCACGAGAGTAGGGAGGGAAGGGGGCAATCGGTGAGAATGGCCCTGGAGAAGTTTTTACCCGAGGATGAGAAAAGTACACAAGCACGAGAGCCAAACTCGAGATTTCGTCCGACCGATTGGCTTCCTCGCTCTGTTTTTCCAGCGTGTACGCCCTTATACGTACCGCTCACCCCCTTTGATTATACCTGCGCCCCCCGCCCCTCTCTCCTCCACTGCCCCGTTTTTTCTTTTTCTTTCCCGCTCCACCGGTTGATTTAATTCAACGCCCACGCGCCCTTTCTTCCTATACACGTGTATGATATTTATTTCAGTCCCCGTAGCCCGAGGCGTACAGTGCTGTTGTTTTTTCGGATTAGCAGATCGTAGATTCGGGAGCACGTGCGGGCAGTTTTTTTTATTTATTTATTNACGCATGTAAATTTCATACCTTTGGTTATATATGACGCACAAATAGACCTTTGCACTCGAGCTGACGGCAAGACTCGGCCAGACGAATGAATCGAGCAACGTCGATCTCGAGGAAGACTCGCGGAAACGTGTTTTTTTTTTTTTTTTTTTTTTCGACGACCCGTTGATTGGCCAAACTCTTTGCTCCCACCTTACGGCTAAGCTAGGATTGATCCAGGGGTGTGTTTGGGCTCGAGTAAAATCTTTTGGGTTTAAGTGTAGGGAGATCGATTACATAGGCTGTGTCGTACCAGTATAATATAATGCACGCTCCGGTTTTTTTGTCGCGAGAGATTCAATTATCGCGAAACGCCTTTTATACCGTTTTTAACAGTCGTTTTGCGTCCATACCTGGAAGTTTTTACTGTTGCAATTTTTCATGGATAACGGCGAAATCGACAATTTTTTTCAATCGTTACCGATTTTTGTTTCATCTGTTACTTTTTTTATTTTTTTACTCTTACCGATACTTTTGTCGTATCAAACAACAGAGCGTGTGCTTACCATGTACGCTTGAAACTAAATTAAAAAGTTTACACGTTATACATGAGCAATTTTGAATCAAATTTCATTACAAAAGGTATACCTACACCGGGAATGCATTTTTCATTTCGCTAAACATCAAAAGCGTTGCTGCTCTACCTTTGTAAGCAGCACGTATATAGTTCCATTTTAATGTTAATTTCAACTAACATAAACGCCGAGGTATTACAATTTGGAGTAAAATTTATTTATTTTTTTGTTATTTTACAAAACTGAGTGGATGAGCCTAAAAAAAAAAAAAAAAAAAAAAAAAAACACATGAAATATCAGTACCACTCGAGCCTCAAAAACGCCACCCACGTCTTTGCGTGACACTCATCCACCTCGAGACTCTTGCCCCACCCACCCGTCCATGTTTACGTACATGCAAACCCTCTTAAATTCATAGAAGAAAAAAAATACACCCGTCAAAAACGACAGTACAAAGGAAAAAAAAGAAGAAAAAAAAATGATGTCCCAAAGTGTTATTCATGCGTGGGCAATGATTGTGGCGTGTGTCGTTGCAATATTAAAACGCGTTAGTGTTTCGTATAAATGTATGGATCAACACGTATGAATTTTCTATAGTGTACCCACATGGGATGCGAGTAAACAGGTGAACGGTAAAAATGGGGCATGACGCACGTCCACGAGCATAATATGTCACCGATGGACTCGCGTGTGTGTGTGTGTGTGTGTGTGTGTGTGTGTGCATGTATACTTGGGCACGTAAGGGGATGCTTGATTAGAAGGACTTTGCGTCAGTGGACGGAGAGAAGAAGGAGCGGCAGCACAAGTGCATTCAAACGGGAAAGGGAGGAGGAGGAGTAGATAATAAGCGATGGGTGCTCGAGTGAACGTTTACATATTATAATATGTGCGCCGACCCTTGCGAGCAAGTATATTTATGGCTTTGGTCTTGCGTGGAAATATCGTGAGGCGTGTAAATTTTCGTTTTATTGAGTGACAATTTGTAAAGCTTCATTTTGATATCAATCACTAGTTTTTACCAAACACGTGGGGATGCAGCGTTGAAAATATTTACCACGTGAGAATTCGTACTTCTACAAGTGTAAAATTGTTAGACATGCCTTAAATAAATTTCAAATCGAAATGTACGAGAATTAAACGAGTTTGCATTAAAATTTTCGAGTGTAGATTTAAGTGGAAAACGGTACAATACTTTTTCCTTATCTTTTACCAGAAATTCTTTTAATTATGAAAAACAGCCATATAACTCATACAACTTCACCTCGAGAACTTGTATTAAGAGTTGATATTTTATCAATAGAAGATACGTGGTTATATTGAATGATATTGAAAAAATTTACACAATTTTTTGACTCTCTGAGGAGTAATTTATGGTTAAAAGTTACCCAGTTTTTTCTGCATATTAACAAAATCATTAAACCTCCTCAAATGTTGGTTGTAATTTTTTTTCTGATCAAAAATCAAAGAGTAGACAACGTAATAATTTATGAAGTTCGAAGTTTTTTTTTTTCTTTCGTCAGAGTACGGATGAAACTTTCAAGTATATTACGTACGGATTTTTTATCTCATTCACAACAAACGGTATCGTGTACCATTTTATTTGAGAACAAACATTTTTTTAGAGAATTATGATTGCAACCAAAGTCGGTTAATTATCGTGGGTACAAGATATTTAAGTACTAAACTATGTATCTTGGAGGCAATTTTAAGTTAAAAGCTCAAGTGATAAATTCTTTTACTTCGACATTCAAAATATAAAAATACAAGACTTTTTTTCACAGTAGATTCGATTGAGTCCAATTCTTTTGAAAAAAGCATCCCTTATTTAAATGATCTACTTCTGGTAAATACTTGAGGGAAAAAAAAAATCGAGTATAGAGGAAACACCGAAAAACTATTCCTTCTCCTTCTGTTAAAGTAGCAAACGGAAAAGCTCATCGTCACCATGCAAGTCATTGCTTTTCTGTACATAAAATTACCCATGAGTGCTCCCTTCGTATTACCCCACACAAGATTAAGCACAAAATTTCTTGAATAATGATGGCAGCACCTACCGATACGAATAAATCATTCATCGACGGAGATGAAAAATCCTTCCACAAATTTGTTGACAAATGATTTTCCATTTCAACGTCTTCAATCAGCCCATCTTTAAATCTTACTCTTTGCCCACGTTATTGTGACCTATATTATCTAAAGATACGTATAAAATAATCAATTTGATTCCGTTAATGTTACAACAATTCAAGCTTAACTGTAAATTCTGTCCAATGCTTTAACTTAAGATCGATGTAGGTTATCTAATCATCAACATAGTTATAATTTGCCCTTAAAACACATTTTTGCATCTTTAAAATTTTATAAAAAGCTTCCACATTCAACGTTTGATTTTTTTAAATTTTTTCACATGGAGTCTGGCAGTCTGCAGACTGGCAGAATCGCGCTAAGTTTAAAATATGTTTCAATATTAATATTTAAAACCTGTTACGTAAGCAAATAAATAATTATCGTAATACATTTGCATTTCTGTATTAACGAATATTTATGAAAAAAAAGGCGACGAAAAACGTTTTGTCACAGTTACATATTGTTGTACATACCAGGTAACATCAGTGACACTACTGACCGTCTGTGCGATGTTAACATAAATCTATAAAAAAAGTTATAAAATAATATTTGACACGTTTTATTGTAATTGAAGTTGATTGTAACTAAGCCTTTATTCGGTTATAACAATAATTACAATTTTTTCTTTATTTTACTAAATTATTCAGAGATGTTATAATTTAGACATAATTTAAACTTAGCGCGATTCTGCCAGTCTGCAGACTGCCAGACTCCATGTAATCTAACCCTTACGCGGTTTCAAAAATTTCAAATAGCTCCAATCAAAATCATCGATTGGTTAATTTTTCAGAACTTAATTATTGTTTGATTTTTTTCTCAATCTACAATCTACGATATAAATCAAAAATTTATATTTTTACCGCTTATATTTGCATTATCAAACATTGATTGAGTGTGAATTCCCTTTGGTGAACAAATTTAAATTTTCGCGGGCAGCACCACCATCAATATGGCGGCTAGCGGACGTTGTTGTTTTTATGTATAGAGGGTGCTCCTGCGCTCATTGTGTGTATATCCCCTACATCCTCTATGAGTCAATGAGTGTGGGTGTATGTGTTACTTACTATATACTTATATAGTGTGTCGCAACTGCGTGTTGTGGTCGTACAACTCGTACAGCGAAGCGTCAGTAGTGTTTAGTGGAGTTGGTAGTTTGCATGGCTGTTGGGTTGGTGATGGTCAAAGGTTCGTCCCATTCAGCTTTAACGACGCTTGGCGAGCTGGAAAACAAAATGATACACTTTTCATATAGTACGCTCGTAAAAAAGTAGACAGAAGAAACCAATGAGCCCGAGCCAGCCCCACAAGCTCCAGATAATCAACAGTGTTCGTATAGGATTGCAACTTCACAAGACAGACCAGACGCTCTCTCAGGGTCTACGTCTACTCCACGACACGTTTACCACGAGAAGGTTTACTCGCCATCCTGATACTCCTCGCCGTCGTCGCTGTATCGATTCGGTAAATATTACAGGTAGGTTGTAAGTGTGTACAGTGAGTGGTGATTGAAGAGAAAAAAAAAAAAAAAAAAAAAAAAAAAAAAAAAAAAAAAAAAAAAAAAAAAAAAAAAAAAAAAAAAAAAGGAGTCAACTCGCGTCATCGTTACGCATGTATGTTATACTTATGTATTACTCACTCTAATCAGCTGTGATACATAACCGAGTCGCCTGAATATATATTGTGCAGTGTAGGGAATACTAGTTAGAGCAGTAATTAATTTAATTTTTGTTGTTCATCGCAGGTTCAAGGGGAGGAAAAGGAGACAAGTGCCGTTGAAATAAAAGACTACTCGTAGAGAAAAAAAAAAAAAAAAAGATGGACGATGCAGGAGTCGGTGGTGGTGAAAAGTACAGCTGGAGGGAGAACGGCGAGAGTCCGAGCCAGGTGGAGGCTAGAAGGCTAACCAAAGCCTCGAGGAACAAGATATGCACGGCCGTGCGTACCAAGTACCCGAAGAAGAGTATGTGCACCAAGGCTATGGTCCTTAGCGACCTCATCAGTCATTTCGCCAAGAGAAATCCCAACTCCCACAGCGCCTGTCGCGAGGTACGTTTCTGTCCTGCACTCATTGATCAATAATCCTTGTTACGTTACGTTTTTTTTTTGTTCTTATTTTTTTTAAATGTTTTTGGCTCAGAGGAGCCATTCAAACGTTTTTTAACCCGACTCATTATTACTATTTAATCGGGTGGCACTCCTTTGCGTAGGTACAGCTGTGTGCAACGCAATAACACATCCGAGTAACGAAACCAATGTATTCCACACCTTTGCCCCCCCCCTTCCGTTTACTTTGTGAAAGTTTATGGATTAAAGTATTATGGAACGAGTGTGGGTGGGTTGTAGCGTGTGGGTGGTGCGTAGTGCGTGCAAGGGACACGTTGATACGCAAGATTGGTTAATCCGTTTTTTTTTCCCCAGGTGTGGGAAGATTTTTTCAGAGGCTTAAACATTAGTTTCTTATCAAATACTGTGTAAACTTTTATCACCCAAGGCTAAGTAATGGTGAAATCGGAGATATGAGATTATTGTTAAAGAAAGTCACGTAAAAGTAAAATTACTCATTTGTACAAAGTAACTCATACCTAATACTTTTTCTAGAAATATTATTCCTCAACAATTACGTTTGTAGTGCGCTGTCGTCATACAATTTCAAAATTTTTGTTTTTGAGACACTGTTAGTCGCTTTAAATACGTATTTATTGTTAATTGTGCATACCAAACATAAAACAAATCACAATCAGAAAAGCCTATCTTGCATCTTGGCTGTCAAGTCATTCCAAGCATCCTGGAGGAAGTGTTAGTAGATAAAGTTGTTGCGTGTGTTTTTATCTCCATAAATTATCGGAAACATTTAAATAATGAGACGAGAATAAGAGGCTTTCAAATTGAAGCAGAAAATTTATACCCTCTTTTCCCACTGTTTGTTTTGACAAAACGACATATCTTTATTTGTTTGGATGTACTCACTACAATAAACAAGAAAGTGTTGTTTTTCACGAAAAGTTACTTAAAATTGTACAAACAATTGGTGTTCTCAGAAAATAACAATTTGTCCATTCTTAATGACATCAGTTACACAGTCTACAGATCCTTAGCTTGTAAGTTTAAGTTTATTGAATTATAATCTGTTATGTTAACAACTAATATAATAATACTGAAAATAACTTTCCTACCATATTGTTTGAAATTTCAGGAAAACAATTGTTTACCAAGGTATTACTTGAACACTTACTCTAAGCAAAATCAAAAAGTTATTTTATTTTAATTTTATTTTCATATGAATAAGAAAGAAAAAAACCATCAAGTATGGTACTGCATATATTATTAAAAGTTATATGCATCTAAACATGCCTCTTTCATACAAATTATGAAAAAAGATTTATTTGTTTTGAAATGTAAATAATCCTAAGTGTTATTCTTTTTACCCCAATCTAGGCATTGCAGAACAAAAGTCTACACATAATAAAGAAACCAAAGCTTTCGGTCGTGCCGCTACGAGGTGAGAGTATTAAAAAAGCGGCGGCTATGCTGCTAAACAGTGCCAGTGAGAATCAAGTCTCGGAACTCGTGACAGTCATGAAATCGTCGAAATTCAAAATCACGGACCAGCGTAACGCGGGTGACTTAAGTGCCGCGCAGCAGGGCATTTCCTCGCTCAGCTGTTACGACAAAACGCCGCGCGAATTGCGGCCCGAAATCGGTGACTGTGAGCCAGTGGACTGCTATCAACCCGAGGTCACGAGAAAATTGGAGGACATTAGTATCGAGTGCGATTTCTACGATGTGAGTGGAGCGAAAACCACGACGATTGACTGCGACGAAATATGTAAGAAGGTCGAAGGTTCGAGCTTGCATACCGAGGCTTTACAGATTTGTGATTATTCGAGCCGATTTAGACCGTAAGTCGAGAGAGAGAAATATAGAGACGAATAGAGAATTAATTGTATGTGAATGCACGCGAGAGAGGATGTGTCTGTATTTAATTTTTTTTTTTTTTTATTTAGATGAAGCGATTAGAAAAATTTTTTGTCATAGAAATTTGTATATGAGAATACGTTGTTGTTGATAATTTAAATATGACGTCGCGAAAAACGGACTCGCATGTGTACATTCTTTTTAATTTGTTTATTAATTAACGTTCTATTTTTTTTATTTTTTTTTTTTTATTTATCGCCATAAAATGCATCCATACTGATGCATATACATACGAATCATTGAGTAATTAATTTACACGACATTTCGTATTTAATACTTTTTGTAATAACGTTTTACAATAACTGAAATAATGAAATAAATGAACTGATACAACAATTTTAATCAACTTGCTTTGTTGTCTACTTAAATCCTCAATCATCATTGTATAACCACAAGAAGCAAACAATGCACGTATACATACAGTAGGACGAAATACCTTGTAAATGGGAGCAATATTGCAAGGACTTTCGTATTCCAGGTACTGCACGAATACGACAAATCCCGAATTGAACGCTAATCTAGAGGAATTCGTGTCTGAACTGTCGAGGCTGCAGAGAAACTTGTACAAACGGGACAAATCGAAGGGGAGGTTTCGACGGCGATATTACGCCGGTTTTCGGGAAATTGAAAAGCGCTTGCAGTTGAAAAAAATCAAACTCGTCATTGTAGCGCCAGACATAGATACGAACAAAAACAATGGTAATTCACGCGAAGATGCATGAACATGGGTATGCAATTGTATACATACTGTATGTATGTTTCGTTACAGGTGAACTGGATAAATTGGTAGGTCGGTTTAAAGACGCTTGTGGGTTGCACGAGGTGCCCTGTGTCTTTGGGCTGTCACGCCGTAAATTGGGATATTTAACACACGGCAAGGGCTTCGTCAGCAGCATCGGCGTCGCGAATTACGAGGCTCTCGAAGTACGCCTACATTATTATTACTTTTTTTTTTTTTTTTTTTTTCGGTGGATCATAAAATTTGTTGAGTTTGCTGAAATTCATTGTTTGTAGGATAAGTTGGGGGCTGCTTTGGTAAAGGTTGCCGATGCCAAGAACCAGCTTAGGATATTAAAAGGCGAGCCAGACAAACAGATTAATGTGGAGGCTATTTTAGAGAACGACCTTTTGCCCTCCGAACGTGTCAAAGTTTTGTTGAAAACTTTGGCAGTGCCTTTTTAGATGCTTTACATGCAAACAGAAGTACAGCTACTTGTCTCTTGTACATCGGTATGTGATGTTGAAATATGTACAAATTTGGATTTTACTGATGTGTAATACAACTTATTTTTATAGATATTTTATAATTTTGGTTTTACTTGGAGAAAACTTTTGTAAGTATTTTTTGTATTTACTGATTTTTGTTTTTATTTTACTAATAATACAAAAAAACACATGTAATTTAAATAAAATTTTTTAACTAAAAAAAAAAGACTTTTAATCAAAATGCAATTTAAATTGAAAAAATGCAGTTTCATAAATAAATGTGAAATCCCTGGTGTAACATCAAATGATAAGAAAGATACCTTCCTCAACAGTCGACCATACAAAAGAAGTTTGACTTATCTACATTCACATGTTTAATAGTTTATTTGCTTATCTTAAAACTCAATAAGACCCACAAAAAATGTATGAATTAATTATTGTGTGCAAAGTAAAACGTGCAATTCAATAAATTCTAGCAATTTTTCCATCACGCAGAGAAATAAATCGCTGTCATTAAAAAGCGCAGGGCCTAGAATTAAAATCATCTATTTTTTACCTACAGGGTATTCATTACTCTTAACAATTGTTAAAACCCTGTGAACCACGAAACTCGTTACTACCCAAGCATAGGATCTACTTCAATTAAAAATTTTCGAAGCAATCTTTTCCACTGATGCTAGCTCGAGGATACAAAGAAGCAAGGAAAGAAGGTGGGAAGGCGAAAAATCGGGCGCATTAAAAATCCCGTCGACCTTGATTCGCGAAAGCCGCAGCGTAGCCGGGAGATAATGGAAAAGAGGAGGGCCCTGTCGATCAGTCGAAGTATAAATATATGTTTTATACGTGCAGAGGATCGACACTTCCTTGAACCCCACTTCTCGAGTTCAAACATTTTTTTTTTTTTTTTTTTTTGTTCTCATGGAATCCGTACACTGTAAGATTCGCAAAAAGATCTAAGTAAAACGATCTTTCACGTACGAACGACAATGATGAAAATGATTATATTGTATTTTTGTATGAATACATCGCAAGGACGCGTAACGGAACGCAGTTTCGATGAAAACAAAAAAAAAATCGGCAGCTCGATCGGTAGTGGATTAACTCAAGTGACGTGAAAAAAAAATCCATAAATACAATGAAACGACAATCCGCCCTTCGAGGGGACATAAAATTTTTTGATCTTTTGTACCCACACTAAGACGATTAACGCGAACTGCCGCACAATGATTCACGACAAATCTACGCCGAGCAGTGGTTGTTGTTTATCGATCGAGATAAGGTCTGAATTTTGAGTTCTGGAGTAGGGGACGGTTAAAAAATTTCGGTCGCTCGTTACTATATAAGTATATTATGTACCGGTTCTCCTTCAGTTGCGAGTGAATATTCTGATATTACGTACAATTGCGAATGAAATTTTCTCGAGTTGAATTGAGCGCTGCGCTCAAACACCGCACGGAGTAAGTATTATAAATGAGTGTTCGATCACTTTCTCGTATTTTAGCCTACAGCTGGGAAATTAAAACAGGTAGTTTCGTCATCTTGTACAGTAGAAACGGCTTTATTAACGTTATCATTGTATCAGATGTAAATTAAATTCGTGGCGAATGTAAGGAAACGCATCCGAGAACCCAACATCGTAGTATGTACCGATCGCAAAGTGTTCCTCGAATTCCAAAAATTCCAAAAATCAGAGAGCCGAAAGTTATCAGGCAGAAAAAGCTCCGTGCAGCCTTTCTCTCTCCCTCAAGAACATCAGCGATCGTTTATAATATGTATGTGAATGTGTACTTACACGAGACGGTACAATATATATGCATCGGATGCTGAAAAAGAACAAGCGAAGGGAAGCCCGTCTCTCATTCGCTCACGGACACGCGATATTTATATACGTGGGTGTATATATGTATATACATAAATGTTTGAGCGCAGCGAGAGCCGCCGAGCGCGAGAGCGCTGCGTGGAATATAGCCGGTAAGTGCCGAGAGAGTCAGTCGATACGGTACCGGTGGCCTCGACGTGCCGTGTGCTGCTCGTGTTTATCTGTTGTACAGCTCTACACTTTTCCTTTGATACCGATCGCCTTGTTGTTCGTTCCGTTTGTTGTTGTTTTTCGCAGCACTTAAAATTAATAACTATTTTGTTGTACCGGCGATAACAAACCTTGTACAGTGTATACTTCTTACACTCCGTTTTGTTTGGATTTTTGTATTTTGACTCGGAGTTTGTGTGTGTCTCTCTGATGTACACTTGCTCCAAAAGGGGTGATGAAGTGAAGGATACTACATAGCATAGGTACATCACCACAAAAGTGGAGAGGAGATAAGGACGGCGTGGACCGATTGTGCTCCGATTTCTGGAGAATCAGGTACGAAGAGGGCACGTAAATCATTGGTATATACTTGTATTGATTGTATCAGGGAAAGAGAGAGTATAAAAGTTACATGTAGCGAGGTCGGCTGATGGCACGTAAAACGAGAAGAATTAAGAGAGAGGCTGCAGGCACATGCAGTGTATACATATATATATCACATGTGTGTCTGTGTTGTGACAGATGTTTGTAATGTATGGAGAGAAGAGGTTATAAGTATTGTGTTGACGCTGCCCCTGATGTGTGGACGAAAACGATATATTGTGCACCGTATCATCTATATCTTTTTTTTTATTTTTTATTTTTTTTACAGGCAAGTTACAGCGTTCTCCACACCGTTGTGTTTTTTTTTTTCGCTGTGTCAACGCACGTGACAATGCTTGACTTTTGTTTTACTCTTCATTTTCGCCCGGGACAAGTAAATGACGTGTCATGATGATATTGTTTTCTAGTTTCTTTCGAGAAGGAAAAAGATATACTTAGGTAAATTTAATAGTCGCGTTAAAAAGTATTCGAGTCGTTACAAGATACAAGAAACTAATTAACCAATCAATTAATAAGCCATTAAGTCACTTTTCACGCCACTATAATGAGTAATCATAAAATAAAACATATAGAGGTACGTGAGCTTATACATGTTCATATATATAACATTATACCTTGCGCCTTTCTCTTTTGCAAATACCAACACTCGCGTGACGTTTTTTACGCCGAAACTGTAGGTGTGTATTTACACATGCAAAATGCACAGGATAACATCTTTGAACAATAATGTACGGACGGAAAAACTACTTACTCTCGCAGACTTGCGTAATTTCAACAGTCCAGACAATAAATTACTCTCTCCCACGCGTGAATAAAACAAAATTTTTGTACCTACTAAGTATTCATTTATAGAAAATAAAGATAAACATGAGAATTTTCAAAGATAGGCACTTTCTCTCTATTTCCGTAAGGCAATCGATGAGACGGAGACGATATTATTTTTAAATAATCATCAATCAACACTGAAGAGTAAAAGTACGCGGAGACACGCATACATGTGCAACATAAACATCACGCAAGTGGACCTGACATCGGATGAGTTGGTGACAGGGACTTTATTACTAACTTGTAGTAGAAAAGGTATATAGGCAGTAGGTAGTTCCCAACGATGGCGGCGGATGTAAGTATGGCTCCGCGCACCACATATCGGACATTAGATTTGTTCGGGATTAAGCTTGGAGCAGCTCGGAGCGCTCCTTTTTTCTATAGTCAATGTATTGAATCTATTACGAGCTTAATCCCGAACAAATCTGTTAAAATCTCCGCCTGCGCACATGTCAAACTGAACCCACGTGTCACCAAGCCCTTGGTGCCTTTCCGTTGGCAAAATTTTTTATCATTATTTTTTTTCTTTCACCTCAAACTTATAAATTCTTTTGGAAAAGTGGAAGTTATTGGTTACTGTTAGATAATGACATTTAAAAACACCACTGTTAGTTTTTTTTTTCCCGATTTGTAACGTGATTTACAGCGAAAAAGCTTGCATGTATAGGGACTCTCTACGTTGTTGTGGTTTTATATATTCACTGCAAGCACAGACGTTGCGAACGACCTGCTGATAGTACACATGGCAAAAAAAAAATTATTGCTTTTCTTGCCCTCCCTGCGAGCTCGTTAAGAGGCTGACTCGGTCGATTGTGCATACATCATTCATGTAGGCGCGTAGTTTATTCAGTGTTTCAACAGAAACTCAATCTTTGAAAAAAAAAAAAAAAACGATTACTCACTACGTACGCTAATCATTTCTCGTTGTTGGAAAATTAATGTTTTCCGATAAAAATATACACCAATTACGATAACTATATATTTTTAAATACTTATTTCGGTGTATTAAAAGCTCCTCCACCGCCTCCACATATTATAGTCTTACAGTTGAAGTATGCCAGTCGGTACACTAATTATTACTATTACAAGTTTACCATAAGTATACCTTGTGTATATTCCACTACTGTATAATACCTATACATACATACATCATCTACATCAACAGCCACGAGACGCGGAACTGCGTCGGTTCGCACGCGCCTGTGGGTCCGACGAAAAAAAAGGGTTAAAAAAAAAACTAGACCTGCTAATATTCCATATACACACCAAAGTACTGAGCATTTTTCCCATAACGTCGCTAATAAGCCTAATGCGAGCCTAATGCACGTAATAACTTTACATATGTATATTTATAGGGTATACCGCATTTGCACCAATTTCCGCGTGGCTGAAAAAAAGCGCATAGAGAGACTTTGCAATGCGTACGATATAATATGTGTCATTTCCGTTTCCACGTGCGAGTTTTTCCAGCCGTGTCTTGTGGGTTTCATTGACCCCTCCGGGGTTGTAAGTGTTGTTCTTGCATCACGGCGTTATTCTCGATTTCTTTTTCCTTGAGCTGCTGTTCATGTGTTGCTCGATTAATGCGCATATCGATAAGACGCGTCTCCCTATACGTTATATACTCATAGTTGTCTCGTTTTAAATACGCTTGAAATGTGTGCGTGACTCTTTGTTGAGCAGCGTGTATTTTTCCTTAGTAAGGTTTCTCGGAGTAAAATGAAACAACCTTTTCCTACCTCGGGGCGCCCAAGCGTTT